AGTAGTTTTGTAAATAGAAAGACCAATTCCACATTTGCAAACCACCTATTAGCAGAAGGACATGAGTTCAATCAGGAATACGATGTGTTACATTTAGAAGAGAAGAGTTTGAAACTCAATCTTCTAGAATGTTTAGGAATCAATAGATTCAGGAATTCGGGTAATTTGCAGAATGATCAATTAGAATTAAATAACTCTCCGTTACTGAATATTTTTTCAAATGTAGAAAATGGAACATAAGCTCAGGTAATTAAATAAATTACAAACTCAGGTGAAAAATCAGGTACTTGAAATTCAGGTACCTCAATTTGTAGAATAAGGTATATATATAGCATTTAATGTGTAGAATTAGTTATTAAGACATGCCCGAGGAAGCCATTGTATTATAACAATCTAGCTTTATTTAAAGCACTGCATCAAAATAATCTCCAATGTTCACAGACAAAATTTTCGTTATTGGAGTGACACCAACCCTCACGTTTTCCGAGAAACACATACCCAATATCCAGAAAAAATTAACGTTTGGGAAGGAATATTGGGAAACCATATTGTAATCCCTCTATTTATTGATCAAAATTTAACAGGGGAACTGTATTTGAATATACTGGAAACGGTCGTTGGATTGGTTGTTGAGGTCCTACAGACTGGCCAGCCCGCTTGCTAGATTTGACACCTTTGGACTTTCTTAATGGGACTATTTGAAGCAAAAGGTGTACAAAAGTGAACCTGCTCCAATATTGGATATACGTCAGAGAATAATAAATATTTGTGTAGATATTGACGTTACTGTGTTCGAAAATGATCGGCGTATAATATCGGATAGGCTGTTCATATGTCAAGAAGCTCAAGGCAACCATTTCGAGCATTTTCTGAACTGACCTCAAGCTTATCACCTCATAATGTAATTAAATGTCAATGTATCCAGCATTGGCTGGATACATAATAATTGTATTAAAAGTTTCGCCATTTTGTAGTAGCTTCAAAAAGATGAGTTACAAGACCCCCCATTCCATTCGATTTTTTTTCCAGATGACGCCTAATCGCCATCTTGAAAATTTCATCTGTCAATTTCACTTCAAAATAAAGTCATGCATTAAGTTCATTATCCCAAATTTAAATTTTTTGAATTGACCCGTTCAAAAAATAAAAAGGGGGGGACATTAAAGAAATGCATTGTATGTACACTGGTTTTAAGGTATGAGAACGACGATCTTACGAAGCATAAATAAACAACTGTCAATACCCGTGGTTTTCACAAACTCTCATGTCAATTTAGTCTGTTCTTGCATACAAAATATACATATATGAATATTTGGAATAAAGCAACTGAAAAAAAATGTTGAACAGTTTTAAATGTACTGAAAACTAAAAAATAATTCGGGAGGTCCTAGGTAGCAGTCATCACAGCACTTTCCCCAGCAATCTACGGTATTGATCAGATAAAAAAATAATACGCCTGATGATATTATAATTTTTTTATCTGATCAATACCGTAGATTGCTGAGGAGAGGTGTGATGACTGTTACTTAGGACCTTCCAAATTATTTCCCAGTTTTCAGTACATTTTTCAATAGAAACGTTGCGTTGGATTAACAATGATAGAGAATTTATTAAATTGTACTGCCATTACAACTAAATGTGTGTACCAAATATCAGATCAATCTGTCAATAGGAAGAGGGTCAAAAACCGTTTAGAAACTTGAAAATTCAAATTGACTTCAGAGACATTTTCATTTCGTTATGAATTACTAAAAAAAAACTGAGGAAATTTGCTGATCTCAGCAAAAATAGATTCTGTATTGCTCGATTAATCGATTTCGACGATCATTTTTATATCCATTACTGTTTATTTTCTCTAATCCAGTCAGTTTTTGTTCTCAGATGAGAGATCATATGGTCTTTTTTGTTTGTTTATTTATTGACGGAGAATAATAATCATGCTGCGTATTAAACTCGTGTAATAATGTTCAGTTTCGTTTGACTTTCGATCGAAATTATGCGTATGCAATTAATTAGTGTTTAAACAATGGCAGAGAGGCATCATTTATCGCGTCATAAAACGTTAAGACCTGTGAGGATGCTTCAAGCAGAAATGCGTGAGGTGGACGTCGCGAACGAGCCAGGTGTAGTCGAAGTAAACGGTATTGTGCACACTCAAAGTTGTCGGCACTCTTAAAGGCAAAAAAACAACTGCTGCAAAATAGTCCACGTGGACTGTAGACTTGGCGGTTCGTATTGGATCGTTTTTACTAACCAAGTTTTATGATTGGCTAAGCAAGCAACATCAGATTTAACTGAAATTCCTTTCTCAACTGTACGTAAAATAGTCATTGAAATAATTGATAAAAACAATATACGACTGTTATAAAGCAATGAGATTCTTACAATTGAAATCATTATGTAGAAATTGAATACTTTCGGCCATAACGTGAGCTGCTACGACAAAACTCTTCAGAATTTGATAAAAAAACTTGGATTTAGATTTAAAATAATGACCAAAGTCAAGTAGTTATGGAAAACAGAAGGTTTGTGGAATTGCGTGACAAAAAACTAAATATAGACAAGAACAACAGCAAATTTTCTATTTGGATGAAACTTGGTACGAACTGATATTTCGAAAATGTGTACGCCTAACATGCCTGCAAACGAAGGATCGCGACTAGTCATTGTGCATTGCGGAGAACGTAAAGGATGGGTTCCGAATTCTTTGAAATTATGTAGAAAAAACTTGAGAACTGCAATGTTGACTATCATAAGAACATAAAAGCAGATATTTTTGAGGAATGGTTTGAAAACATATCGATCCTAAATTTGGATACGAATAGTGTATTATTTCTTGACAACGCTTCCTATCATTCGCGACAGCTCATCAAAGTACCGAATAAAAATTCGAGGAAAGATGAAATACAACGTTTTTTAATGGATACCAATTTGTATTTTGAAGATTACTATACCAAAAACCAACTACTTGAAGTTTTATAGACAGAAACATTTGAAAAAGTGAGAGTATTGCTGAAAAGTATGGACACACCATACTGAGACTTCCCCTCTTTTTTTGTGTCTTCAATACTATCGAGTTGATTTGGGGAAAGTTGAAACAAAGCATCAGGCGTAAAATAATTTTTCAAAATTTGATGAGAAGCTAATAGAGCTAATTAAAGAAGAATGATCTAATATTACCGAAGGAGGCTGACAAAAGAGGATTGAACATATTCACCATGGAAGAATTCCGTGAAATCCATTAATCGCTTTTCATGTGAAAGAACTATTTCAGTATTTACATATATTTTACATAAAACAAGGCGAATGAAATGAAATAGTCCTAACTCAGAGACGAAACAGAATTATTTTAGTGACAAGCAATGATTACTAGTCAGATAATTTTCAAAAAATATGCTACACCTTGTCCAACTTACGAAAAAGTACTATAATGATGAACAGTTCGAAAACAGTCCACAATTTGAACTCATTTGTTTTCACTACCTGTGAAATTTTTGAACATCCGGAAAAAATTACCAAAAAAAAATCACCATCTTGCATCGAGGTTCAACCGTTTTGCAAGTAAAAATAGATTTCCCATTTGAATTTCCAAAATCTCACCGAAAGAGATAACGAACCACAAAATAACATCGCGTTAAACATCTGCAAAATTGACGATGTAAAAATAAAAACACATCCGTTTGATGTGCCACTTCAATTCGAATAAAAATACCACGAACAGGATTTACCTTGTAACTCATTTTGATGCACTTAAACGTCGCGTCGTGATTAATACTGGCGTATTGTGCAAACTTATCCTTTTATATAGAGATTTCGTTACGAATAAATAGCTATTGCATTGTTTTCTAAATTTCCTGCAAGTTCTCCGACACCACGGTTTCGATTTCTTGCTATAGAACTTTAATTGCTTTGAAAAAAAGACGACTATTTGGTCCATCGGTTTCGAGAAGTTTGCTAATTCAAGTCATGCATCATTAGTAGCTGGCTGATATAGTCTAAGAGCTAGGCCATTTTTCTTCGTTGGCAGCAATCAAATGAAATTTTGAAGAGCAATAATCTTTCAATAACTTCTGATATGTAAATCAATCGGAATTCAGAAAAATCACAGTTGCACAATGACATTACTCGCATTAACTGACCGTAACATTGTGCTTAATTGATCTCAAAAGTTTCCAGAGAGAATACAATCTTTTAGAGACATTTTTGCAAGATTGCTAGACAGCCTAATTGATGATGTCAATTCGAAAAGAAAAATCCAAAATTATATGAATCAAATGTGGATGAGAGTTGAAAGAAATAGTCGTTATATGAGCTGTTGAAAATAATCCCAAAACGTCAACTCGAAATTTAAAAATATCAACAGGCCTACCAAGACAAAGAGGAAGATTAAAACTGTTTCAATCTTCCTCTTTGAAGATGATCACTTGGTGATCGAAACACGTGTCGAGGTGTTAAAAATAACGATTTGGTGATTATTATCACTTTTATTTAAACTATGAGTTTTGATTATTGCTGTGCAAAGCAATAATTTGATTGTTCCATTGAAAAAATTGTTTTCCATCCAATGACCCTTGATATCCCATTTGAAGGAAAACGTTTTTTACACCATTGAAATCTACGTAAAAAGTGATTTGTGAATGTTTTCATAGAAACAAGAAATTTTGATAGGACAGGACGAAACGGAACAAATTCTAAAAACATGCTGTAACTCAGACACGATGATAGATATCGATATGCGGTTTTCACCATTAAGTTTGTCATAATATTTGACTTTCAGACACAGTCATCAATTTTCACCTATCTAGTTTAAAAACAGGAGTTTCCCATTCAAAATTGTCCAACTTGCCCCAATCTGTACATTTATTGATAGGTTATCTGTCTGACAGAAATCAGGGTATCAAATATACAAACGAATTATCGAACCCTTGATGAGTTATTTGTGAAGTACCTCAAAGGTCCATGTTAGGGCCACAACTCTTTTCAGTGTATACGTCATCTTTCGAAGATGAGCAAGAAAATTGCAATATTCCTTTCTTCGCCGTAGATACTTGTGTTTTTTTCTTTCCAGGCTGATAAAATAACTGTATAGCAATATCCAACAGAAAACTGTTTCAAAATTAACCTTGATGTATCACAGGAAATTATTTTCCGTGACAATGTGGTGAACAACAGTATTTGGGCTTGAGTGATATAAAAATGAACTCCTCAATCTTTATAAAACAATTGGGAATCTTCCAAAGAAAGGAAGAACACAAAAAAAGTATTTACAGAGTTGTGCAGATCATACAAAGCAGTAACTTTCAAACACAAATTGGAAGAAAAAGCCCTCTTCAAACAACTACTTTATATGGACATTGAATTACACAAAAACACTTTTTCCTATTCAGTTTGTACTCCAGATATGTAGTATCTTCTTGATTTGCAAACGATCCTCATTTCAAAAACTATATATTGTACTTAAATTGAATAACAACTCGGAAAACAAATTGGGAACACTTCATCAGCTTTTAGTTTATTATTAAGAACAGTGAAATTGATTTGTCAACTGTAACAAACTCGACGATTGTTCATCTGGGCTTTCTTGTGATTGAAGAAATATTTGAAATATCGTTAAAGGTTAACAGAACCATTAAGTATGAATAACTTTCTTTTGGTTATTGCAAAATGTTCCGGAACTAAAAATGATAGTCAACCGGAAAATAATTTTGTGTTTGGCCCTGGATTCATTCAACCATAAACACAAAGCGAGCGGCAAATAGATAAATGACTGTGAGGAAAGTTTATAATGTATCTATTGTTCCTGAAGACAAGGAACAAAAAATATATATTTTTATGTGAGTTCATTTTCTGTTTCCATGCTTTTGCAAATCAGTACAGCTTATACATTTCCGTTTCACCGAAATTTTACAGCAGAAGTCTAATTGGATATTATGGCGAATTTCCACCAAATGGACGAAACCTCAACAAAACAAAAACTGTGTCGATTTCGACTAAACAGAAACTTGAGTTGTCAAAATGAGAAACATGTTGACAAAAACAGCGACTGGAATAAAGATAAGGATCTCAAAGGCGGTGCACGACAAAGACAATTACTCCGCGAATTATATGTGCTGGTAATCGCACTTGGGAAAGTTTCAACTTTTTCAGAGGTTGCTTCATATAGTGAGCTCTAATCAATTTCAACAGAGAATGAATAAGTTTTGTGGCCCACAACTCAATTCCTCAATGGATATTTGAACTACAGACTGTACGAGGAAAAGTGATTTCTGTGTAATTCACTTTCCATATGTTTGAAAGTAGTTGTTTGGGATCGATTTTTTTCAGTTTGCATGCGAAAGAAACTTCTGTGTATGATCTATACCAGGGGTCTCCAAACTACGGCCCGCGGGCCAAATCCGGCCCGCCAGTGTCATCAATGTGGCCCGCGACATCCAATGATTACCTAATTGTTGTTACTATTGCTGTGATAAGTTGAAGAAGAAAACACAGAATGATAATTACTCGGTTTTATTTACTTGCAAGGTAAAACTTAACGACAGAAATGATGACAAAGAAAACTTAACTTAAGTATCTAAGTTTAAGCATATTAATAACTAACAAATAATTGAAATGAATCACAGTAAAACAAAACACTAATGAGATTCATGTAATTGTGATTTTCCACCGACAATACTTTGTAGTTGTGGATCAATTTTACTTGTACCAATTATCAAAAGAGATTTAAGATGCTCATCGGTTAATTGAGATCTGTAAACATTCTTTGTGTACTTCATCTTGGAAAACGTTTTCTCACATAAGTAAGTAGTACCAAATTATCAAATTGTTCCAGTGGAAGACTCTTATAAAATTCCAACAAAGAAGAAAGAATTTTGATATTTGTTTTTATGTATATCACTGCACCGTAAATCAATAATTTTCATTTGGACTTCCGGAGCCAGGGTTTCAATGTCAGAATCAAAAGGATTTTGAAAAAGCTTCATTTCATTCGCAATGACATCAAAATCTGAAAAACGAGTATCAAAATTTATCTTCAAAGCACAGTTTCGATTACAAAATTGACGGAAAATTCAGTCTCTGTAGTGTGGCTGAATATTTCACATGTTTCAAAATGTGCGAAACATTTTTTACGTAATTGCGATTGAAATAGTATTATTTTCTGCCTAAAGGATTTGATATTGGTGTATAAATCAGGGAGAAGCTAATTTTCTCCTTGCAATCTCAAATTCAGTTCGTTCATATGATTTGTCAAATCGACATAGAAGGCTTCTCGTTTGAAAAAAACTCGATCTCTGCTCGAGGTTCAAAAAAGCGCTTAAGGACTTTTCCGCAACTAAGCAAGCGTACGGCAGTATGATATGGTAAATCATTTTCTCTAATCTGTTGAATAAACTCGCGGAATTGTCGGTGATTCAGCCTAGTAGATCTGATGAAGTTAACAACTGATATGACTGGTTTTAGAACTTCAGACATATCCAAACATTTTCCGCACAAGGACTGTTGGTGAATGATACAATGTAAGACTAATGGTTTTGAACCACCATCATTTTCTACAGCCTTTGACACAAGTGCAACCACTCCTTTATTTTTACCATACATATTTTTGCCTCCATCAGTTGTTATGGATTTTAAATTTCTCCATCGAAGGTTCTTTTTATTAATGGCATTTTCAACTCCCTTAAAAATATCTGTCCCAGTTGTCGTGCCGTGAATACTATCAATAATATTCTCATGAGTTCCACTCATGAGAATATTACACCTAGTTCGTCAGCTAATTGTCGGTGCTTGATGCGAAGCGATATTTAAACATAGTTGTAAACTTTGCAGAATAATGATTTCGATTTAATTTATCGACTATGTGCAAAAGCTAGAGAATTATTCTATGAGAAATTATACTGCAACAATCCATCTTTGTGAAGGGTTTTTATTGATGTTTTCAATCACTTGTTGTAGTTGTAATTGGCGATGAAGTTGTATAAACTTACTCTGCCATTTTCATTACCGTAGAACGTCGTAAATTTCCAGGAGAAGCTCTTCCACAGTTTGGAATACATTTCAAAGATCTATGACAGCGTAATTCTGTTACATATCTTAATAGTTTGCTTTCGGCAATGTCACAGATGCCGGCATTCCCCGAAGTATATCATGGGAGAATTCCCGGATGTACTGAATAAAATAAGCCCTCAACCTCTGCATTGATGGCCTTCGTCTCATGATGGATTGATTATTATATTTATTACAAGAGCTCCAGTCATTCAACCCTCAGTTAGATCATCATACGAAGGGTCTTCCGAAAGGAACTTCCAAGTTTTGACGATTGATGACGGCCATATTTTTGAAGCTACATCTGTCAAATTAGTTGTCATTTATTCTGTCTGTTTTGCCAAATGACCGTTGACGGATATAGCATTCAACAAGACGCGCAAATAATGAAAGGTTTATAGTCATTTCTTCTTTGTTTATCATTTTTATATATTTATCATTCTTTTATCAAGGCTAATAGGGCTTGTCTACTACTATCATTGCAGATTGTTATGTTTTTGTCAGAAATTCCTTTCCTGGTTATTTTCTTGCGGCGATTGAGATACCAGCCAGTTCTGTTTGAACCACACTGGTATTTTTTCCATTCCCCACTTAATCCTCAAGCTTAGTGATTTGGAGTAAACTCCACGTCCTGAGCCTTCTTTGTTTTATTGAAATTTAAATATAGGAAGCGCTTAATGGAATACCCTGTATATATAATTACACGATGACTAATTATTTCGCAATAATTTTATTTCTAAGACTTTTATTTTAT